CCATCCATCCATCCATCCATCCATCCATCCATCCATCCATCCATCCATCTCCATCCCTCCATCCATCCATCCATCCATCCATCCATCCATCCATCCATCCATCCACAAACCAACCAATATATGTATCTACAAACCAAACTCTTACCAACCATGAAATCTTCTAGTTGAAGTTCTGCACCCTGGTAGCATTTTGTTTTGTTCGGTGATATGGAGCAGGGACTGTAATGGGCAAGTTGCTCTGTTCACACATATAGACTAAGAAAAAGTGGTTGCAGTTTTGCACCATTCGGTTGCACGGAATAGGAGTTGCAGTGGGCAGTTTCGGTCCATTCACTTCTATGGAGGAGGGGGAAAGGATGCCGTAGTGGATCCTGTATCATTGATTTGGATGGAATGGGAGAAGAAAGCTACAAGGCCCACCACAGCTGGCTGGCTGGCTCCGTGGTTTCGCTATCTGGCTGCAAACCCAGAGGCTGGGAGTTCGATTTCCCATGAGATGAGCCAGCCTGGGTAGCCCTGGGCCAGCTGTACAGTCCCAGGATACCTCAAGAAGGAGGGAATGATCAACCTGTCCTGAGTACTCTCTACCTGGAAAAGCTTGAAAAAGGTCGCCATAAAGTCAGAATTGACTTGACAGCACATCATTATTTGTTGTATAAAACGGAGAAAGCGAGCTGCAGTTGAGAAACGCTGTCGTGACACAATGTCCCTAAATGTCAACCCTTTTTTGTTCCAAGGGGCTAAAGTATGTTGGCTTTCTTCCCCATTTAAGAGATTTCCTGAGTAGCCTGGAACTCCTTCCGCCACCTACTCAGAGTTGACCAGGCCTGAATCCTGAACTTCCGTTGAGACCTCAGAGGAAAGCAAGCCAAAGCTGATGGGGTGGATGGATGGAGGTTGGCTCATGGCTCAATCTTCTCCAAGCCCAGGTGGTCTGATTAAGAGACCTTATTCCCCCCTTCTCTCTTGACTCACAAGAGTTTCGACAGAACACCGTAGGGGCCAGGGAGCATATGTCCGGGCATATGGTTCTGTGGGGCGGCCTCTTCCCCTGGCCAGGGTTTTCTCATAAAATAAAAAAACCTTGCTCGTCTTTCTGCCAGCCCAACTTCTGTCTTATCATCACTTCGGCTTGGAAGCCGCCAGCCAAGCTGCATCTGGGCGAGGCCTCGGCGCTCCATCCCTACAGGAGGGTTTCTGGCCCCTCTTCTTGGTCTCTGTGCAAGAAAAATCAATAGTCCCAATATGTTAGCACTCCAAAGGAGCTGCAATTATATTACACCGGCCATTAACCACACAAGCAGTCCGATTACCTCCTTCCATTAGAAGGGGCATTAGGTTGTAGCTGCTTGGCGTGCTTGTATTCCCCGGGATCATCAAAGCAAAGCAAAGAGGCAGGGCTTCGGCCTCTGGGCCGCGTGATGGAAGGTCAGCCCTTGGTTGGGGGAAATGCATGTCGCTTTGTGCTCCCCTCTTCCTTGCAGATAAGACATTTCACAGGTGCCCTGTTGTGTTGGAGGCTTAAATATTCTGTAATATGCACTGCATGTTGGCTGGATAGCTCAGTGGTTTAGGCCTCTGGCTGCGGAGCCAGAGAGGTTGGGTGTTCGATTCCCCCCACTGAGCCTCCAGGGACGTTCGATTTCCCCCACTGAGCCTCCAGGGACAAGAGCCAGCCTGGGTAGCCTTGGGCCAGCTGCACAGTCATCGCAGGCCACCCCTGAAATAAAGGAATGGGAAACCACTTCTGAGGACTCTTTACCTGGAAAACCCTGAAAGGGTCACCCTAAGTCAGAATTGACTTACAGTGGTGCCTCACGTAGCGATGTTAATCCGATCCAGAAAAAAACATCGCTAAGTGATCACCCCCAGTGGAAGAGAATGGTAATGCACTTCTGAGGACTCTTTACCTGGAAAACTCAGAAAAGGTCACCCTAAGTCAGAATTGACTTATCATCATCATCACCATCACCAATGTACTCTATCAACTGAGGAAAAGAGGTTGACAGTATGAAACTATAAAGCAGCATCAGGTTTTCCTAAAGGGAAGACAGATGACATCTGGCATGTGATGAATTTTAGCTCCATCCAGCTTTGGCCAATGGGAAGAGATTTTATTACCTGAAACATCTGGAAAGTTAAATGTCCTTAAGACAGCGGTGGCCATTTTGTTTTTGCGGTGGCCATTTTGGAACCACTGATCAGCTGTTTAAAAAAGTTTGCTTTGCCACGATCGCTTCCCCGCGATCATCGCAAAGCGAATTTTAGCCATAGAGGCCATCGCTAAGCGATCGCTCCAGCGATGGCCAAAAGTCCATCGCAAAGCGATTTCATCGCTCAACGGAGCGATCGCTAAGCGAGGCACCACTGTATCATCGTCATCATCACCATCACCAATGTACTCTATCAACTGAGGAAAAGAGGTTGACTGTAGGAAACTATAAAGCAGCATCAGGTTTTCCTAAAGGGAAGACAGATGACATCTGGCATGTGATGAATTTTAGCTCCATCCAGCTTTGGCCAATGGGAAGAGATTTTATTACCTGAAACATCTGGAAAGTTAAATGTCCTCACCTGTGCTAAAGCCTAGCTTTGGAAAAGCATCCATGACATTTATTTAGGGAATATATATGCACATCATTTTTTTTTCAGATCTATCGCAACAGCTGTTTCATTGGCAGGTACAGTACAAGGGTTCAGAGCCTTTTTTCTCGTCTCCCTCACGCCACGCCTCTGTGGGAGAGTCTCTTTTTCTGTCTTGCCTGGATCTTTAGAAGAGCCTGAACCACAAATCAGTTGCAGTATTGTTGTTGTTTTTTTGCAAATTCTCTACACTGAATCCTTGAACTTGTATCAAGCAAGCTTGTGATCACCCAAAAAGAGAGTGTGACGGCACAGTAGGAAAAAATGTGAAGTGGTCCCCTGTGAATTTGTATGGGGAAGTCAGGTTTCCCTGGGTGGATTTGCTAAGTCAGTGGAGAAAGAGGCGGAAATGTGCGCTTGTTAAGCACATTGCAGTCATTATCCATGACATTAGGGAATATATATGCACATCATTTTTTTTTAGATCTATTGCAACAGCTGTTTCATTGGCAGGTCCAGTACAAGGGTTCAGAGTCTTCTTTCTGGCCTCCTCCCACACCACACCTCTGTGGGAGAGTCTCTCTTTCTCTCTCTTGCCTGGATCTTTAGAAGAGCCTGAACCACAAATCAGTTGCAGTATTGTTGTTGTTTTTTTTGCAAATTCTCTACACTGAATCCTTGAACTTGTATCAAGCAAGCTTGTGATCACCCAAAAAGAGAGTGTGACGGCACAGTAGGAAAAAATGTGAAGTGGTCCCCTGTGAATTTGTATGGGGAAGTCAGGTTTCCCTGGGTGGATTTGCTAAGTCAGTGGAGAAAGAGGCGGAAATGTGCGCTTGTTAAGCACATTGCAGTCATTCAGATTTTCAGAAGGCATCGTGGAGCTACCTTAACTAGCTGCAAACAATGGCTGTGTTCCAGTTTCCTCTCTCTCTTGTTTCATAGCTGCCCTAGCCCATCCATGGTTGTACCAAGCCTTTAACAAAAATTGTTTGGAGACAATGGGTGCTCAGTTGAAGCAAACTGACCCCTCCATGAGTGCACCCTTGCTTCCTCTCTCCCCACCTTGAATGAGGACACTGGGAGAGCCCGCTTCTGGTTGCCTATTGAGTCTTAAACTTGCTTCGACTCCAGGGATTAAACCTTCTGAACTGAAGAGAATTCATTTGATTTGGAAAAAGGTAGAAACTCCAGTGGGGAAGGGGAAAAATACAGACTGGGAGGGAAAACTCCAGGCTGATTCACATGGACGTCTACATCACCTAGTCAACAGAAAATACAATATGAATCAGACCATCCAAATCTTAGAGCATTATTTGTCATTGTTTTCAGCCCTAGTGAGTCCAATGAGCTTAACCATTGCCCCTGCAGGCTCATAAATGGGAACAGATAGTCTTTGTGTCCCGAGGTATTTTACACCTTAGTTCCCAGAAGCCTTAGCCAGCATGGGCAGTTGTATGGGATT